GATGTCACATCTTTGTACCCTAATATTGACCACTTAGATGGTATGGAAGCAGTGAAGTTTTATCTTGAGGATTTTAATGGGATGCCGAGCTTACAGAAGGATTTTATATTCTTGAGTTGTTGCAATTCACGATGACCAAGAACTACTTTTTGGTTTAATAACCGGTTTTATTTACAGACTAAGGGGGTTGCAATGGGAGCGAAGTTTGCTCCCAGCCTGGCCAATCTCTTCACTGTCTAGGTGGGAGGAAGACATGATATATGGAAGAGATTGGCCAGAGCTTTTATTTTATAGACGATATATCGATGATATATTTTTAATTTGGAACGGTGAGGAACAAGCGTTATTGAATTATTTTTTTGATACTTTGAATCTTAACACACTTAACATTAAGCACACCTTTGAGTATAAGCACAGTAAGCATCCATTTTTTTGGATTTAACTTTGTTTAATTATGAAGGGGAGGATTGTCACGGAAACCTTTTTCAAGGTTACTGACAGAAATAGCTACATCCCCCTCGATAGTTGCCCACCATCCAATGTGGTTGAGCAATATACCTAAAAAGCCAGTTCCTGAGGATTAGGAGAAACTGTACTGATCAAAATACGTTTCTTCATCAAGCTTCCATCCTCAAGGAACGTTTTTTAGAAAAGGGTTATAATGAGAACAAACTGGTCAACACTATTAAGGAAGTTACCAACTTGGAGAGAGACTCTATTTTATATGGAGTTAATAAGCAGAGACAACAGAAAGTATGCCCATTTATAACTGGCTTTTCCATCCAACATAAGGCTGTCTCTAAAATAATTAAGGCAAACTGGAAAATATTAAAAGCCGACCCTGTTTTAAAAACAGACTTTCTGCCTGACAAGCCTGAAATGACATTCAGAAAGGCACCAACATTGCGGACAAGTTAGCCCCGAATGTTGTCAATCCCCCCTACTACGTTTATCCTTTTCTCAGGACTTAAAGGATTTTTTTCCCTGTAACAAGTGCATTATTTGTAGATGTAATGGAATTAGAAAAAAGAGTACTGACACTTTCAATTCATCAGTTACACGAAGAAGCTATAATATTGATGGCTTCATCACATGCAATAGTAGGTTTTTGTAGTCTACTTATTGCAATGCCCGTGTAGAAAACAATATATTGGGAGAACTACGAGGAAACTAAAAGACCGTTTGAGAGAGCATGTCAGTAATATTAAGAAGGGGAACAAGGAACATTGCTTGTCAAAACATTATCGTTTATTCCATAATAATGACCCCCACTTCACTGACTTTTGCTGGTATAGATATGGTTAAGACTCATTGGAGGGGAACTAATAGAAAGAGGACAGTCTCGCAAAAAGAATCCAAGTGGATCTATGAATTGGACACTTTTTATCCCAAAGGGCATAATGTTGAGTTTGATATTAACAGTTTTATTGATAATAGCTGATTTTGGTTGGTGGTTTACATGTGCTATCAATTTATACAATTTAATCTTTTCATATAATTTTTTTATTATTATCATCTGATGGGCTCACTATTTTGTATTGTTATTTGTGTGATTTTACATAATTAACGCTTGATACCTTCACAATTTTATTATTATTAATTTATAACATATTATTAACCATGGATACAATGCAGCCTTGTATTTATTGGTTTTTTTTTTTTTATATATTAACTGTTTTATTATGCATTATGTGTTTTACCATGTTGTGGTTCTTGGTCATTATGAGTATACACTTGATTATGCTATTTTGTCTATAGGGACATTGTTTATTCCTATATATGTTTATTTTTAACACCACATCTGTATACGTTTTGTATTTTATGTAACTGCATTTATTGTATATTTATACTGAAGACACCTTAGAGTTATATTAACATATATGCTTTAACATTTATGGTATATCGATGTTGATTCATCTATATACATGCGTTTACATTACATCTGTTAGGTGTCTTCACTATATTTTTCTGTGTGTTGTTTCCAGCCCTGTATGTATTGTTTTTTTGGCTAACAGCTGTTAAGGATTATGATGAACGATAACATATTCACTGCATAGCTGTGCTTGTATCTGGCATCGTAGTTGTTGGTAATTAAGACCACAACAAAATGGAGCTGGACTGAGATGCGGACATCGTAGCGATGTCTGTTCTGCGCATGCGCGAGGACGCCGGGAAAATGGCGGACGCGCTTATACGATTGCCTAGACACTATTTATACGGGGTTTGGAGTAGATGTCTGGTTAGCTGACACACTCCCTATGAATACGTGCACATGGCACGAAACGCGTCAGGGTAAGAGCAGCATATCCCAGACATTACGCCACCGCATGGAGCGGCGGCCATCTTTGTACACCTTTATGGTCAGTTTTATTTATGCAGTCCTTGTCTTTCTTTTGGGACCAATAAATTTTTATTTTAAACGGTATCACACCATCCTGGCTTTTTTTCTTGGGACCCTGCTGAGTCCATTACTTGCAGAGTCTCCTAGGGGACAGCTGAGGGGTGTTTTAGTGTGGTAACACACGATCCATTAGAAGATACCTAGGACGGACTGCTGTACTTGGATGATGACCCTATCCATCTATGAGACAACTTCGTTTGGATATCGGGATACCATCTATATGCATATTTGAATTATGCATCTGGTGAGTGCATGATTCAATTACTCTGATCACCGGAAGACGCACGTTTTTCAGTCACCATTTATTGTCTTAAGGACTATTATTGCTTTTTTGCACAGTTTTTGGCACTTTGTTATCACTTTACATATATATGGTTTATAATTATACTGTACTTCAGCGCTGCGCCCCCTCTTTTTTTGTATGTCTTTTTGAGTCTTTTGGTACTTATTGGCGCATAGCAGCTTTTCCATCTAGCGCTCACTTTATCTCTATTTTTTACAAATGTATATTCACACATAAATTGCACTAAACCCAGATGTGGATATAAAGTAACAAAAGTGCAAAATGTAAAGCTAAAAGGTGATATTGGTGAGCACTGACACTGATGTGCGGAGTGTTAATAACCATACATAGTCCTGAAAACAGTTTATGTAAAGTGCTTAGAAGTGATGATCCATCTGAGGGGATCTCAGGTAAGTGCTCCTTACAACATCCTGGTGACGTGCCGTGAAATGGTTAGGAATACGCACTCACCAGATGCGCAACCTTTATGCGCATGTGTGTACATGTATATCTCAAAGATGTCTGCTGAAGATCACCTTCAGAACCGGATCAGCCTGGTCTGGTCACAAACCCATAAGAATCCCCTTCCTCTGGGCAGTTTGCAGCACCTTAGGCCTCACTCCAGAATGGGCTCTGTACAGGTATCCGCTCAGTTAGAGAGTCTGCCATCTTGCAATGCCGGCCTAGAAAGAGACTGGAGCTCTGTGGTTTCCTAAGGCGGAAGAGGTGCGGAAATGAGAACAGAGCCTGCGTGTTACAAACTAATGACCCCTGCATGAGATACTACTAATCTTTGCGTTACATCCCAGTGAACTCTGCTTTAAATATTACTGACTTGTGAACTAAGTTGCTCACTCCTGTGCCTTACATACTACTGACCTCTCAAATGTCAGTAGCAGGTAATGCAGATTGCACACTGCATTACTTACTCCAGACCCCTTGCACTCTTCTCAGTACAGGTTTTACTATGCTTTTGGTAACACTTGTGGTTCCCCTTGGTGCTGTCACCACTGCTGCAGAAGTGACAAAGTTTGGCTTTTGTCCCCAGGGTGGTGGCTGGCAGGAAACAGATAAGAGCCATCAGCCGATGAGTCAGTCCCCTTAAAAATGAGAAGTAGCACGATCCTCCCATCACCCCATATGACGCTCTGCAATCATCTTCCATCCCTCTATAAGAAAGCACAGCCAGACTAGGGAATCTAGAATAATATTTATTAAGCTTTCACAAGGTGCGCAAAGGTTAATTTATATATATATATAAAAATACATTTCTCTCCGCCTGCTGTAATGACAGAAGGACCTCAGGGGTGGGGAGCAGATCTAAGCACCAGTTCTCCACCACCCCTGACATATAATACATGTTATTATAGTGATACACTGTGATATAATATATATACACATACATATTTATACATGGGCAGAGCACTTGCAATATAAAGGTGTGGCAGCACAGTATGAAGAGAGGGGTAATACAATACACTGCCCCAGGCACATGACCAAGCACCAGGAATTCAACAAGGCACATTGCTCAACTCCTCAGGGGCAGTACCCAAAGAGCAGTGTGACATGTAGTAGACACAGTCAAGCAATGAGAATGTCTATCATGTTGTACACAGGTCTTTACTTTGTTACTAAGAGCATCCGTGTCCCTTCCCTGTCCAGGAACCGCAAACCTCTGAAATATAATGGACTGTTCAAGCTTCACGTCAAGCATGTTTTGGAATAAAATATAACCGCACGAGGAATAAAACACTGAAATGTGGACGATATCTTACTACACTGAAAAGCAGTCCTGGCCCTCTGAGAATCTACAATAATTTATGTTTTATTATTTTTTTTTTTAAATTTCCAGCTGTTTGCTGGGGAAGGGGAGGGTTATTTTGGTTCAATCTGTTCTCACTAATGTGGCATCAGTATACCAAAAAACATTTTTTTTTATTTTTATGAAATGTCATGGACAAATATCCCCCCCAGTGCATCGTATGCCCTGCAAGTTGTCCCAGTCCTGGAACCCCCTAAATGAAATGTAACACTGGGATAAATGTGGATTAACAGTAACACTGCACAGTACACACAGCTCTATGAATTGTGGACAAGAGAATAATCAGGATATGGCTTCCTCCCACGTGTCCCCATTTCTCACGTCAGTTTCCCAGAAGGCACTTGGTAGCTGATGCAGCTGTCAGGGCTGGGCGTCTGTTGCCCGGTGCCAGCTTAGCGGTGAGGCAGATTCTCTGAACAGTTGGGCAGCAATGGTGGTCGCGTAGCAAAGTCAAGGTGGGATGATGTGGGAAAAAAAATAAAAGGTTGATGTCTTTATTTATCTTGCATCTTCTCTAAGATGGGAACGATCATGTCAAACTTTGGCCTCTTGGCAGGATCCTCATTCATACAGATCTTCATAAGTTTACAGATATGTGGAGAGATTCCAGGAGGAATGGTGGGGCGCAGGCCTTCCAATGACACCTAAAGCACAATGGGTTTGTCAGAAAGATGTGTGAATGCCCACCAACTCCCTAAGAGCTGCACCACACCAATGGAAATCACCTACCTTCATCCCAATCTCCATGTTAGAGAGATCTGCAAAAGGCACCTCTCGGGTCACCAGCTCCCAGAGCAGGACAGCAAAGCTCCACATGTCGGCAGAACGGCGGTTGATGTCCTCAGGACGTTTCTGTAGGGCTGGAAGAAAAGTCAAAATGATATGTGCTGCTTTGTGTGGCCAATCTGCGATGGCATCTGTAGCAACTAAGGTTAGGATATAGAGGAAACATGCAGGCCAAAAAAACTTTATTTTACATACTGCCCTACAGATATTGAAATTTCATGATGATTAAAGCCCAACTTCTTTTCGCTCAATACGTTTTTATCATTTTTGAGGGTTTGAAGGATTAAGTCGGCCATAGACTATTTGAACCTCGGCTGGTTCAGCAGAGACTGGCCAAGATTCAAATCATGTATGGGCAGGCTGAATGAACCCAAGTTGATTGAGCGATAAACTTGGGTACAACCAGCCCGTCAGGTTTTACATGCGATTATTGCAAGTGGCAATTATAGATGCTAGCAGTAATCGGTGTTCTCCTGGTGGGGAGATGGGAGGATATCCTTATCAACACTGATGTTTTGATGTGGAAGTCGAGCGATTTTCTTTCCTGCAACCTGTGGTTGCAGGATAGAAAATCGTTCCAACTATGGCCGACTTTACACACATACAAACATGTCCATTAGCTACATCAAGAGATAAAAAGCAAAACTTGTCATCAGTACACAATGAACTGATTTGTATGGCAATTAAGAGAATCGTCAGGGAGATACTAGTCTCTCCTCACCTTGGAGAATATACAGTAAGGGCAGCTGGGGTAAGGAATCCCTCAGATATGGGCAATAGGTCTACCAAATGGCAGCGTGAAGAGTGGAGTGTAATGTAGGGAAATTGTAATTTTATATATGTAAGTGTAGGGAGGGCTAATATTTAGCATAGGGCATGGCAGGGGAAAATAGGTAAAGGGGGATCCAAAGTTAAAGAAAAAAAAAAAAAAAAAAAAAAAGATTGGGGTCAGTATGTGGGTGTGCACGGCAGGCCACTCCACACCTAAGAGCTGCAGTTTGTCTATGACTGGGAGCTGGGCTGGTGGAAGCACCTTTACTGGGAAATCAGCCATGCACCAATTACAATGGATTGCTTTTCATTTGGACTATGCAATCCTTCAATTCCAGAGGGCATACAAGACTCATTCCATGGCCTCCATGTTTTTGGAAATTAAAGTCAAATTCTCTGCAAAACAATACCATGATCTAGAGATTTTTTTTGACTTCTGACCCCAATTTTTCTTTTCAAAGAAATTAAACCGTTGCCCTGTCTGTATGAAAATAAAACCAGCTTTTGCTGCAGTACTTGCCTCTCTCTCTAGCACGGTCAATAAAAAAAAAAAAAAAAAAAAAAAAAAAAAAAAAAAAAGACTAAAAAAGGGTTAACCAAGGGCCTAAACAGCGGATACGGAGAGATTTTGAATTGAATCCCTCCTATATTAATATCAGCTACCATATGATCGTTGACTCACCCGTAGAAAACATAAATGAAAATAAGTGTGTGTGGTCACCGAAACTCATGCTCAAGACATATGTGCATAGGGAAAGGGTTCCCCAAAAAAGGTAGTTTCATGTGGGACCATGCAGTTTTGTCAAAAGGGCTTTCTTTGAAAAAAAAAAAAAAAAAAAACAAGACAAAATGTGCGTTGCACAAATATACACACACGAGCTGAGCACACCAACATCATAACTTCACCAAACTAAAAAGACAAAGTTGTCTCGTCACCTAGCAGCTGCTCATACAACCTCCAACATACACACTTTGGGGGAGGGGGCGTGAAGGCTAAAGATGCAACTAGGGAACATATGGAGCAGTAACCATTTGTTGAATGTGAGGGTTAGATGATAGTCATTCAATAGTGTCCCATGTCATGGAGATAGGAGTCCGGTTGTCCTATAGCCATATATAATGAGTGATTGTAGGATGCCTGAGAGTATTGGACTCTCTGGCATCCTACACTCATTATCGTTGCGATCCTCAGGAGCAGGAAAATTTGTTCTTTAATGGTTAGTTATGGTAGTAGTTTAATGGGGTGTTCTTTAATGGTTAGTTATGGTAGTAACAAGAGCTGCTAAATAAAAAACTAAATTTTTTTTTGTTTTTGTTACCATTTCAGGCAAGAAAAAAAAAAAATATAAATATAAATATATATATATATATATATATATTTTTTTTTTTTTTTTTTAATACTAATCAGGAGATATCTGCTACCATTTACCACCAAAAGAAAGCCCAATTAGTCCTGAAAAATACAAGGTATAATTCCGCCAAGATGCACAAAATAGTTGCGATGACATGTAAGATTTTACGAACATGTCGAAGCAGCAAGATTGTGTTCAGGTATTAAGATTTATTTTACCCTTCATCACAAAGTGGTAAAAATAAATAATAAAAGTTCCCTTTAACCACTTCCAGTCCGGACACTTTTACCCCCTTCCCCCCCAGGCCAATTTTCAGCTTTCAGCGCTGTCACACTTTGGATGACAATTGCGCAGTCATACAACTCTGTACCCATATGAATTTTTTAGCATTTTTTTTGAGACAGATAAAGCTTTATTTTGGTGGTATTTATTCACCACTGGGATTTTTTTTTTTTTTTTTGATATATAAATGAAAGTCCAAAAATTTTGAAAAAAAAAAAAAAAAAGTTTTTCTTATAAAATTTTGCAAATAAATAATGTTTCTTCATAAATCTTGGCCAAAATTTATTCTTTTTAGAAAAAAAAAATAATAATAAATAACCCAAAATTAGTTTACAACCAAAAATGTTATTTTTTTTTATTATTTTTTTTTTTTTTACATACTGTCACCCTAGTAGTACAGTGTCAGTATGGTAACACTGTACTACTTGTGGGGGGGGGGATGAAGATTTTTTTTTTTTTTTTTACACGGATTGCTTTTACAGCCTTTATGGGTGTAAAAGCAATCATTTCTCCTCTCTGACTGCATTCTTGCAGCCACTGAGAAATACTGTGTGAGCTGTGATTGGTCACAGCTTGCCACATGGTACAACGCTGTTGTGAATAGCCCTGTACCATGTGATCTCTGTGATCATTCACAGATTTCACACGTAGTAAGCAATGATGTCAGAAATGACATCTTGTTTACTACTCTGCATGTGATCACTGATTGGCCAATCAGTGATTACATGATCTGGACCTCACACAGAGGTCCAGTACAATGATTGGTGTTCCACTGTGTCTTGAGGACACAGCGGGCACTGGGCCGTGGTGCTGCGTGCTCCCAGGGAGCGCTCACAAGCAGGGAGGATGTTTATAAATGGCCACCCAACCCTGCACTGCTCCTGTCCAGCCGTTTATATACAACGGCCGGACGGGAGGTGGTTAATCATGACAAGTGTGTCACACAGCTTCCTGTCCAGGACATTGTTCAGTTTTCAGTGCTGTTGTGATAGTTTGACTGACAATTGCTCTGCCATGCAACATCACGCACAAAAACACAAAAATGCCGGGACAGGATGAAAACCCCTTTTTTGGAAAGCGGATACCTCTAGGTGATCTCATGTTCTGTCACAATTTTAGGAAATGACGAAACACACTGGCATTGTGGGGTAAAGAAAAAAAAAAAAAATGTGCTTCGCCTCTAAAATCTGCCAACCGAAGCCACGTTGTTTGCTATTCATGGATGAAAGTTCCTTGAAGGATAAAATTGCACTCCACTGAAGTTGTATTATGTGCAATGGCTAGATGTCACAGATGAGCGCAAAACAATCCCACAATTATTAGTGGCACTTTAAATCCCTTCCCCCTCAAACAAGTCAAAACTCAATGGTCGTCAGTATCCTTTTAAGCCCCCCCCCCCCCCATTAGAGGTCAGTAGTACTTGAAATCCCCCCAAAACAATGGGTGGTCAATGGCCCTTTACACCCCTCCCCGAATAGTGGAATGAGTTTTTAAATCCTCCATTTCTCCATTGTATACATTACTATACAGTTTACATTAGAGCTCATTGTGATTGGTCATCAAATCAATCACATGACTGGATTGAAGGAGAACCATGGAAAATTGGTGCAACTAGTGTGATCTGTGAAGAACAGACGGGGTATATGGCATTATTGAGCTCGAACAGACACAGTTGTGCTGCTGAATGACGTCAAACTTGGACAGACACAGATGTTGTAGGGTGTGGTCACTGAGGTCAGACAGACCCAGATGTGCTGTAGCGTGTGGTTACGGAGGTTGAGGCTGGCAGACATAGATGGGACTTGCATTCACCAAGTAATAGTTCCAGTAATAGCTGGAATGTAGGGTGTGGTCCCCGAGCTGAAACTGGCAGGGCATATTAACTAGAGAGTGGGCACATAGATATTTGAATAATACATTCATTGCACAGTCCTTATATCAACTTAGTATTACTAAATGATTCCAAGCTGTAGCCATGCACCATTATGTCTATTACTATTTATGATGTGACACCATTCTTCTAGGTGTCACCAATCATTCACAGTTCAGCCCTGGTGTTCTGAGGATGTAGCTGCTGGTTATATGTAGCTGATGCCTGTGACGCCCCTTTTGCATCTAAGACATCAGTAGCATTTACTGTGGCCGGTTTCATTAACTGGATTTTAGGATTCTCCATGTATATGTTTGACGGTCATGTTCCACCTGTTGGTGGTTTTTGTAACCTAATAAAAAGGTGTTCAATATTATTAACTGTCTTTACATTTTTGTACAATTAATGTTGATTTATATGGTTTTGTACCCTAAAAGCCCCATCAGTTTTTCTTGGTTAGGGTCTTATTTAGTAAGATATATGAACAATACTGGACAGGAATACTGACTTGGTCTCATCGGTGAGCAAAAGAAAACTGACTGAAGAAAGACCGAGGAAGAGGTTGGGGTGGACGTCAAGGCAAGAAAGGCCAAGGCCGACGACAAGGCAAGAAAGGCCGACGACAAGGCAAGAAAGGCCGACGACAAGGCAAGAAAGGCCGACGACAAGGCAAGAAAGGCCGACGACAAGGCAAGAAAGGCCGACGACAAGGCAAGAAAGGCCGACGACAAGGCAAGAAAGGCCGACGACAAGGCAAGAAAGGCCGACGACAAGGCAAGAAAGGCCGACGACAAGGAGAAAGCCGACGACAAGGCAAGAAAGCCCGACAAGGCAAGAAAGCCTGAGACCCAGGAGGAGAGAGGCCCAGGAGGACAAGATGGGGAAGACATGAGTAGGACAGAGGTCAGTGATATCAAGACAAGGTAAATGTCTATCAAGACAAGGGGATATCAAGACAAGGGGAGGAGAATCGGCTCTAGATGTTACAAAAGTGATATCAAGACAAGGGGAGGAGAATCGGCTCTAGATGTTACAAAAGTGATATCAAGACAAGGGGAGGAGAATCGGCTCTAGATGTTACAAAGTAGACCAAGGAAGGCTGCACAATTCTGACAGATGTCTTCTACAATTCAGGAGTGTGGAAGGGAATAATAATAGACTGTGCTGTACCTTCTGGTGCAACCCAGGCTGGAGAGTACATACGGCCTGGGCACTGGAAAGAAAGCTTTACATCCGCCATACTGACACGAGCCGTCATATCTTCATCAATCTGCAGAACAATGAAACGTCATTATGGTTTCCACAACTGAATTCAACTCATCTGTAGAATTGTAGACTCTGCTATATAGTGATATCTACATAGTGAAAGAATGGAGACATTGCAGAATCGGTCTATTGAGGGATCTGAACAACAGAAGAAAGCATGGGATTGTTCATATATAAAAGCAGGATAGAAGGCACAATAGAGGTGATGAGATTTGGCAGAATCTAGACAAGGATCATTGTCGCAGGTTGGCACAGGCCTCACACTACTCACCATGACACTACGGCTGTTCAAGTAATGGCGAGGAATAAGAGGCTCCAACGTGTGAAGAAACGCCATGCCACAGGCAATGTCCAAGGCAAACTTGACTGCCTGGCACTGGTCAACCACCAAGTCTGTGTGTACAGGACAGATATATAAGGAACAATGATTAAACACACAGAGATCCCTCCTACAGGTATGCACACCCCCACCCCTCCCAAACAACATGATTATTCACCATCTGCCCCAGCTAATGTCGATAGATTGGGTTGGGGGAATGTTTGCACTGGCCCAAATAAGTAAAGAAACTTCCCTTAGCTAATGTCCCTAATAAGTTTGGTTATGAACAGGTAGGTACTACTTTCCAAACCAATACTCACTGGTTCCCTCATGCAGAACATTGTACAGAGATCCGTAGGGCATCCAATGGGTGATGAGCACAGGATGAGGGGCGGGTGGAGACTGACATGCACCCAGAACTGGAAGGACATTGGGGTGAGAGAATATCCTATGGAGGACAAGACGACATGGGGTGCACAGTGAGGAACCAAGACAAATGGAACAACAAACTATGACTTTTTAGAGAAATTAGGACAGTGCCCCCCACATACTGGTAGAGGTGCATGTACTATGACAGTGCCCCCCACACTGGTAGAGGTGCGTGTACTATGACAGTGCCCCCCACACTGGTAGAGGTGCGTGTACTATGACAGGGCCCCCCACACTGGTAGAGGTGCGTGTACTATGACAGTGCCCCCCACACTGGTAGAGGTGCGTGTACTATGACAGTGCCCCCCACACTGGTAGAGGTGCGTGTACTATGACAGTGCCCCCCACATACTGGTAGAGGTGCGTGTACTATGTACACGCACCCCCAGTACACTGGTGGGGGGCACTGTACTATGACAGTGCACCCCCCACAGTATGGTAGAGGGCGTGTACTATGACAGTGCCCCCCACATACTGGTAGGTGCGTGTACCTGACTGCCCCCCACAGTGTGGGGGGCACTGTACATATGACAGTGCCCCCCACATAATGGTAGAGGTGCGTGTACTATGACAGTGCCCCCCACAATGGTAGAGGTGCGTGTACTATGACAGTGCCCCCCATATGGTAGAGGTATGCGTTGTATGACATCGCCTCCTATACTGGTAGAGCTGTGTACTATGAAAACACCTTTTATACTGGTAGGGCTGTGTGTTAGGATAGTGTCTCTTATACTGGTAGGGATGTATGCTCCTATACGGCTAGGAATCTGTATCCTTGCCCTACAACAGTAGAGATGACAGCACCTCCTATACTGATATGTACTATGACAGCACCTCCTATAGTGGTAGAGGCGTGTGTACTATGACGGCGCCTTCAATACTGGTAGAGGTGTACATACTAGCTCTGTGCCCTATACCAGAAAAGGCATTTGAGCATGGCAGTGACACCTATACTGGTAGGAGTGTGTACTATGATAGTACCTCCTATACTCTTAAGAGATGTGTAAATTATGACAGCGTCTCTTATACTGGTAGGGATGTGTACTATAACAGAACCTCCCATACTGCTAGAGGCGTGCATAGTAAGACTGTGCCCCAATACCAGTAGAAGTACTTGTAGTATGGCAGCAGTGCCATCTATACTGGTAGAATGTGTACTATGGCATCCCCTCCTATACTGGTAGAAGTGTGAACTATGACAGTGCCTTCTATACTGGTAGAGACATGTGTATTATGATGACAGTGCATCCTATACAGGTAGACGTATGCACTATGAGAGTGCCCCCTTTACTGGTAGACAGACATATGCACTATGACAGTGCTTCCTATACTGGTATAGACATGCGCACCATGACAGCGTCTCCTATACTGGTATAGACATGCGCACCATGACAGCGTCTCCTATACTGGTATAGACATGCGCACCATGACAGCGTCTCCTATACTGGTATAGACATGCGCACCATGACAGCGTCTCCTATACTGGTATAGACATGCGCACCATGACAGCGTCTCCTATACTGGTATAGACATGCGCACCATGACAGCGTCTCCTATACTGGTATAGACATGCGCACCATGACAGCGTCTCCTATACTGGTATAGACATGCGCACCATGACAGCGTCTCCTATACTGGTATAGACATGCGCACCATGACAGCCTCTCCTATACTGGTATAGACATGCGCACCATGACAGCCTCTCCTATACTGGTATAGACATGCGCACCATGACAGCGTCTCCTATACTGGTATAGACATGTGCACCATGACAGCGTCTCCTATACTGGTATAGACATGTGCACCATGACAGCGTCTCCTATACTGGTATAGACATGTGCTCCATGACAGCGTCTCCTATACTGGTATAGACATGTGCTCCATGACAGCGTCTCCTATACTGGTAGAGACATGTGCACCATGACAGCGTCTCCTATACTGGTATAGACATGTGCTCCATGACAGCGTCTCCTATACTGGTATAGACATGTGCACCATGACAGCGTCTCCTATACTGGTATAGACATGTGCTCCATGACAGCGTCTCCTATACTGGTAGAGACCTGCAATATGACAGCTTCTCCTATACTGGTAGAGACCTGCAAAATGACAGCGTCTCCTATACTGGTAGGGACTGCGTGCGTACTAGGACTTTGCCCCTATACCAGTAGAGGAATTTGTAGTAGGACAGTGCCTTCTATACTAATAGGAGTGTGTACTTTGACAGTCCTTTCTATGCTGGTAGAGGTGTGAACTATGGACAGTGCCTCCTATACTGGTAGAGACATGTGTACTGTATTATGACAGTGTCGCCTATACTGGCAGATGTGCGCTTTATGTGGGCACCCCCTATACTGGTAGAGACAGGTGCACTATGACAGTGCCTCCTATACTAGAAGAGATATGTGTACTATACGGTGTCCCCTATACCGGTATGGATGAGTACTATGACAGTGATTGCTATACCGGGAGATGTGTGCACTATGACAGGACTTCTTATACTAGAAGAGATATGTGTACTATACAGTATCCCCTATACTGGTATGGATGCGTACTATGACAGTGCACACATCTCCCTGTATAGCAATCACTATGACAGCACCTCCTATACTAGAAGGGATATGTGTACTATGGCAGTGCCTCCTATTTGGGGAGAGATGTGTGTATTATGATTTTTTTCTTGACTTGACAGATATTTCAGGATGCTTCACACAAAAGGAAAAATGCTAAATACATACAGAGCAGAATCTGTATAAATGTACTGTTCTGTCGGTCATGGAACCAAATCTTAACACATACTAATAGGCATCAGATGTGCCAAATATCAGACCCCCCCCTGGGCACTCGGCAACACAGACGAACAGTTGGAGCTATGATCAGTATAGAACATGTCTGATTGATATCAGTAAAGAAGAGCCCTGTGGCACACATTGATGAGGTGTGAAGGGGGATGAGCATGGTGCATGGCAGTCTGACACACACTGATAACTATGAGCTCTATGGTACACAAAGGACACAAACAGGGCATCAAAGTCCCTGCAAGTCTACAGATGGTGAGGTCTCACCTCAGTTTGGGATACTCTTCATTAAAGTCGCGGCTCTTCCTTGTAGTCCAGTCGCGTATTTTCAGGACCTTGATGACAATGTCATTGCCCTGCCAGCGGCCCTTCCATAACTATAAGCAGAGGAATTTCGTTTTTATTAGCGGGAGTTCTGTCAGGCCACTGATCAGTAATGCCTTAAGCTGCTCTCACCTCTCCAGACTGGTTGTCGTTGAGTTTGTGGCTGAGGGTCAACTGCTTGAAGTCAATGCCTGCTTGCTTGTTAAGAGTACCATTACCTGCAAGCAGAGAAAGAGTCAGGGATATAAAGGAGGTTGTCAGTCCAGAGTAGTGAGGATGGTACAGGTGACAGGCAGTGTCACTGAAAATACATAACAGAAACTATGTTCAGAGGAACATACAAAGCGGTTTAGTGGTGCAGGCGGGGAAAAAAGGAAAATTGGAAGACGGATACAGTAAAGTGGGTGAAGTCGATGGCAGGGGATGTGGTGTGGATGGTAGGGGATGTGGTGTGGATGGTAGAGAAGTGAAGTCGGTGGTAGGGAATGTGGTGTGGATGGTAGAGGAATGAAGTCAGTGGTAGGAATGTGGAGTGGATGGTAGGGGATGTGGTGTGGATGGAAGAGGAGTGAAGTCAGTGGTAGGGAATCTGGTGTGGATGTTAGGGGATGTCTTGTGGATGGTAGGGGATGTGCTGTGGATGGAAGAGGAGTGATGTGGATGGTAGGGGATGTGGTGTGGATGGTAGAGGATGTGGTGTGGATGGTAGAGGATGTGGTGTGGATGGTAGAGGATGTGGTGTGGATGGTAGAGGATGTGGTGTGGATGGTAGAGGATGTGGTGTGGATGGTAGAGGATGTGGTGTGGATGGTAGAGGATGTGGTGTGGATGGTAGAGGATGTGGTGTGGATGTAGAGGAGTGAAGTCAGTGGTAGGGAATCTGGTGTGGATGGTAGGGGATGTGTGTGGATGGTAGAGGATGTGGTGTGGATGGTAGAGGATGTGGTGTGGATGGTAGAGGATGTGGTGTGGATGGAAGAGGAGTGAAGTCAGTGGTAGGGAATCTGGTGTGGATGGTAGAGAACTGTAAACTGTATATTGGAAGCAGTGGGTGGAGAAGAAATTGTGTATAAACAAAGATAGGTGGATGTGAAGAGTTCTTGGAGGCAATGGACAGCAGTAATGTGATTCTCACGTGGCCGGGTTCTGGTGGTTCCTTTCCAGAAAGTGTCCTTGTAGGGAATTCTGCTCATACTCTGGCCCATCTTCTCAGCCCGGTCTGCAGATGACATTGGAGGTAAGAATACAGCATATAACGTCACACCATACAAAAGGAGGCTATAAGTTGTACATACCCCGCAGAAGCTCTCTTAGGTGAGGTTTAGCCTTGTCCAGAGGGGTCTCTCCGTATTTATTACAGATATAGATCAGTCCATTATTATTCACCAGATCCTACAGGATTAAAAAGACTCCATTAGCAGATGCGATTACAGCACAGTGACTGGACTTTACTCTTCCTCCGTGTCTATGAATACAATACCATCTCTGGGTGTGTGTATACACACACACTTCTTCAGCTGGATCAATCACCAGACTGCAGCATGGAAACAAAGCTGTGAAAAGATGGAGCATCTGACAGCAAGAATATACGGTGTACATATAGAACACAATATATGACCCTCCGTTTCCAGGAGTGCTCACTGAGTATACACAGTGTACAACAATCCTTTCCCAGGAAAACTGAGTGAGAACATACATGTACAATCTGGTGCAAGCTGAAGTCGTTTGGCTACCATGCACACCTGCACCAGATTCTGAGCGCTCTGACACGCACGCATGCACGCACGCACGCGTTAACATAATTTTCGGTTTACAAATGAAAATCCATTGAAAATAACGTCTTGGTTTACAAATTTTTTTCACAATACGAAGTGTATGCCGATTTTTAAATGCAATTTCCGGCGCTTTTTTTTTCTTCAATATAGCTCACAGAATTAGCTGTCACTTTCCCCAGAGTTAAGGCGTGGGGTCCCCCCCCAAAATCCATACCAGACCCTTATCCGAGCAGGCAGCCTGGCAGGTCAGGAAAGGGGATGGAGGGGCGGATGGGAGACAAGCAAGTGCCCTGCCCCCCACTTCTGAACCACACCAGGCCACATGCTCTCAACATGGTGGGGTGCTTTGGGGCAGGGGGAGCTCCACCCCCCGCCCCCCAAGGCACCTTGTCCCCATTCTTTTAGTTTTTGCTGTTAATAAAAGGACTTGTCAAAGAGACCGTGTCCTGCCTTTTTTCACACTACACTTTTTGGTTCTAGTAAATGAGTTTTGGAACCATGTGCCCCATATACTCATTCACATGGCATGGGGGGGGGCTGGCAGATTCTGATGAGGGCATGTGGCCTGGTATGGTGCAGGAGGGGAGGGGGGTGCTCGCTCGTCCCTCTCCCCCCCCCCCTTTCCTGCCGGGCTGCATGTTTGGATAAGGGTCTGGTATGGATTTTGGGGGGGAACCCACGCCATTTTTTTTTTTGCAGTGGGAGTTCCCTCAAAATCCATACCAGAACCGAGGCGCTTGGATAGGAGGGAGGACCCCACACCATTTATTTATTCGTTTAATTGCCGGCAATTCCTTTACATTCAGCTGTCAGTGGGGAACCCCGCTGACAGCTGAAACATTAACACATGGTTGTCACTACTAAAGTACTGCATGACTTGATAAAATAACTCATGTGGTATTTTAGTAGCATTTACTTTTTTCTGACCTCAGAAACGGATTAATTGGTTTTCAATGCATTCCTATGGGAAACGGCGTTTCGGTTTAAAAAATTTTCGCTATACGAAAAGTACCGCAGAACGAATTAAATTCTTAAACCAAGGCATGCCTGTATAAATAAATGATTTATTCTCATTGACTGATCCTTGTAATGTTCTATAACTCCCCATCCTCCTCCCAGGATCTCTCTGCAGACACAGCAGGAATACAACAGTCACGCACCTCGGCGACGTCATCCTGCCCCCAGAAACAGGCATAGTGCAGGGGAGAATTTCCATGCTCGTTAACAGCATTGACATCCGCCTTGTGCTGAATGAGCTGAAAAAAGGGAAAAAAAAAAAAAAAAAAAGCACCATCATCAATACAAAATGTGCAACTTCCTGCTCTGCAGCCAGTGCATACAGAGTGATCGTATCTTCCATCTCCTTCTGCCATCACCACACACATCACTTATTGACAGCAAATTGCTTCCCTGGGAAGCATAATTTTCTGCTGGGTTGGCAGGGCCCTCCTATTCCTTCTGTATTGAACCATATTGTAATTGTAACTGTTGGCACTACATAAATCCTGTATAATTATAAGTAGCACCCTTCTAGTTTAGCTAGGGGGAGTGAGAATCCTGGCTGTCAGTGAGGAAGGCCGAGTAGCAGCCTGGGTGTAATATCCAGAAGGTCAAATTGTGGTCAGGAGCTGAGAGGCTCTGCTGGCCGCCCCTCTGGAATTTCTCCCTGATCTAGGGCTTTAGGGGAAGGCCCTAGAGGTCATGGGTGGATATGAGGAGTGGCTGGCTTGCAATCTTTAGGGATCCTGGCCAATCTCCAACAGTAGGTTGGAAAGGGGCTAGGACACCCTTAAAAGTGCTGGAACCTGCTCAGGTGCAGGGGAGTTCAGGTGGAAGACCGGGAGGAAGATGTGAGGCTGAAGGCAGTGAGGAGGGCCAAAAAAAATGGGGCCTACTTGTAGGCCTGGAGCTGGAAAGGCAGACACTCAGAATTTCACTGGCCCCCAGAGCGAGGACCAAATGTATGGGAGGGAAGGAGCAGCCTGGCAGGGAAGGAGCATCCCAGCTGGAAAGGCCTGATAGCAGCCACCAAATCACCAATGGTGCAGGAGAGAATCTGAGAGAGTACCCCTTCACCCCATCGGCAGATAGGAGAAAGAACGCTCTGATGGGAAACCAGATTTGCTGCCTATTTGAGACTGTCCACCTTTAAAGTAACAGGCACCCGATCCCCTGTTCAGGGATACCTCCAGATTGCTGGGTGAAGAGGAGAACTTCATCTAGGGTCTGGGGTGGTACATTAAGGAGATGCTGGCTAGCTCTCCAACAGAGACTGTGCTGCAGAGAAGGCTTGTAAATAGTTCCAGGGAGTTATCCTCAGTTTATCAGTTTCCTTGAGCATCCTGTACTCTCCTAACACTATCCCAGTTAAAAATTCAAAACAAAGCCAAAGTTCAAGGACTGATCTCTGACTCTGGATGCAAGCCTGTGTGAAGATGCACGATGCCTGGCTGTGCAGGACTATGGAGGAACCCAAATCGTTTAGCGACTCCTAAGTAGGTAGTTCTCCATATAATCATAAAAATAATAATAGTGTGTGACTGTGGGAAGACATTACAATGTAAGATGACGCATGGGGGGCAGGCGACAAGATGACAGGCAGACAGATGGGGGGCAGACGACAAGATGACAGGCAGACAGATAGGGGGGGGCAGGTGACAGGTGGACAAAGGGTGTGGGGGGGCAAGCGACAGATAACAGGAAGACACACAGGGATGGCATAGAAATGACAGGCAGACACAAGGTGGGCAGGTGACATAACAGGAAGACACATGGCGGGGAGGGGCAGGCAACAAGACGACAGACAGAAACATAGGGAGGGACAGGAGGGACAGGCACCCAAGCAGGACAGGACAAACGTGAGACAAGCCTCCTGGGATGAGGGACATGGGTATCTCAGGAGGCTTTGGGTGGGGGGGCAGTGACATTCTTGCCTAGGCAAGAAAGAAAGGTTGAAGGACAGGCTAAACTCTGCAGAAAATGGTATTCCTCTAAAAACAAATAAAATATGTGCAATTTCTTTAAAAAGGAAAAAGCAGAGCTCAGAGTGAGAGGCAGCAGCAGGACCCAATCAGGAGTGCTACAATGCAAGAATATGCCAACAGCAGGAGAGAGTGGAGTGACAGAGAGATGAGCTAATCAGTCTGCTGCTTCTCCTTTCACTGTGCAATCACAGGCTGTAGAAGGGACAAAACCAGTGTTACTGAACTGCAGCAAAGAAAAATTAGGGCTGTGCGGTGTGTCGGGGCTATGTACTGGATGGACAGAAATACATTGGGGAGATTTCCCTTCACCGTCTGTCCTATAGATACAGCTGGAAGTGAGAAGAACTCCTTCCAAATAAAGGAAGCACTCCCTTGAATCTCCTATACTGGTGACAATCCAAAATTTTGAATCTTATCACTTTCTGCCTTGGTGACAATGGTGCAACACAGACAGTAACCCTTCCCCTACCCCATCCAAAACTTCACATTCACTTCCTCAACCACGGCAGTTCCACAGACAGCACACAACAATCCGATGACTGCATGGAACATGACCCACCTTCTGCACGATGTCCCGGTGGCCGTGGCTGGCAGCCAGGTGGAGGGGTGTATCATCCCCGCGGTTCATGACATTGATCCGCGCTCCTCTCATGATCAGCATGTCAACAATGTTACTGCGGCCCTCACGACAGGCCCAGTGCAGGGGGCTGAAGCCGTGGTCATCGCTGGAAGAGAAGGATGCAGTACATTAGCAGGTAAATGACGGGGGAAAAAAAAATGCAGTTATTTAACCTCTTAACTGTATTTCCAGGACTCTTCCAGGACAGCTTCACATGAGAGATAGGCTCCTCCCACCAGGAAGCACCTGATCCACTTTTTCTTAACCACTTCCAGTCCGGACACTGTCACCCCCTTCCTGTCCAGGCCAAATTTCAGCTATCACTTTTCAGGTCGTGCAACACTGTGCCCAGATGAATTTTTAGCATTTTTTTTGAGTCAGATAAAGCTTTATTTTGGTGGTATTTATTCACCACTGGGATTTTCTTTTTTTTTTTTTTTGCTATGTAAATGAAAAAAAAAAAAAAAAAAAAAAAAAAAAAAAAAAAGGGGGTTTTCTTATAAAATTTTGCAAATAAATAATATTTCATCATAAATCTTGGCCAAAATTTATTCTGTTATCTTTTTAGTAAAAAAAATATATATATATATAATAACCCAAATTAGTTTATAACCAAAATTTAATTTTTAAACATTTTATTTTTTTATATTATTATGTTTGTTTTTTTTACATACTGTAATTCTAGCAGTACAGTGTCACCATAGTGACACCTAGCCTTTGCCTCTCAGAAGCCATGCTGTCAGTGACAGGTTTTCCTGGTGTGGGCGTACCATTGCCCCCTGTACTAATAGGTCCTTCCTGGGTGGTATAGCCCACGGGTCCGTTAGGCTCATCTTCTTCAGGAAGGAGAACCATGAACTTTTGAACCAGAATAGAGCGATTAAGATGACCTTGGCCTGAGACGTCGGTATTTTCTGTACCACTTATGGTAGTAGTCTGAACGTTGGAAAGGCGTAAAGGAGATCCTCCTCCTCTCGCATAACCCCTACCTCTCGGGTCCCATTGCATCAACCTCCCTCACGGCCGCAGTGAATGGAGACAGGTGTGGCGTGGGGCAAACTTGTAGACCACCGCCCACATCCAAGATGACAGAGGTCTTCTTCCTGATCCCCGGGCGCCGGAAGTAACGCCCACAGGTCCCGGAACGGACATTCCCGTCAGTGCTCAAGCATGACATCATCCCACGCCCTGCCTGCCAGAGATGTCGGCATGCAGCAGAGGAAGGTAGGCTTTGCCCCACAGGGTAGCAGCCCCTTGGCCCCTCAGGTCGGCAAAGCAGGCTCTTTCCTCGCTGGTGAGCCCTGCAAGACCGCAGATGGGCGAGGAAAGAGGGGTGCTGTCTGTCTCCCCTAATTCTGCCCCAGAAAGAAGATGTCTGGGAAGCCCGAATGAAGCCACCCCACAAGGCCCCTGTCTTGCTTGGTAAAGGGGGTAGCTTCATCCAGGAGGCCTTTGTACCCCACCAGACAGCCTAGATAAAGCAACGTGGGTAGTTCCATGGCTGGAGGAAACACAAATACTGAGGATCCCAGGGGGCGGAGAGGCTATTTATTAAGCAAAAGTGGAACAAATGTTTCCAGGTGGGAGGAGCCTCTCATGTGAAGCTGTCCTGGAAAATGGCGATCTAAACTGATGAGTTGTCACCCCTGGTTCAAGTCATTCTCTGTATTATCCAACCATAAACGTACTGCCACCGCGTTCCCTTCCCGGCACTGCGTGAAAATGTCATCCATGATGCCGAGTCCCTAACAGTTGGCTGTCCACCGAATCTGAGGGGACAAAAATAAGGACATATAGAAGAGATCTGTGTGAGAAATGGCTGTATGGTGCTGTGTACAGGCTGAGCTAGAGTCCTCTGTACAGCACTGCGGTATATGTCAGAGCTATATAAATGTATAATAATAATAGTGTGTGACTGTGGGGGAGGGGACATTAGAGTGTAAGCTCCTCTGGTACAGAGACTGATGTGACTGGCTCAGTGTTCTCTGTACAGCACTGCGGTATATGTCAGAGCTATATAAATGTATAATAAGTGTGGCTGTGGGGGGGGGGGGGGGGGACATTAGAGTGTAAGCTCCTCTGGTACAGAGACTGATGTGACTGGCTCAGTGTCCTCTGTACAGCACTGCGGTATATGTCAGAGCTACAGTGGGGATCGAAAGTTTGGGCACCCCAGCTAAAAATTTGTATTAATGTGCATAAAGAAGCCAAGGAAAGATGGAAAAATCTCCAAAAGGCATCAAATTACAGATTAGACATTCTTATAATATGTCAACAAAAGTTAGATTTTATTTCCATCATTTACACTTTCAAAATAACAGAAAACAAAACAATGGCGTCTGCAAAGGTTTGGGCACCCTGCAGAATTTATAGCATGCACTGCCCCCTTTGCCAAGCTGAGACCTGCCAGTGTCATGGATTGTTCTCAATCATCGTCTGGGAAGACCAGGTGATGTCAATCTCAAAGGTTTTAAATGCCCAGACTCATCTGACCTTGCCCCAACAATCAGCACCATGGGTTCTTCTAAGCAGTTGTCTAGAAAACTGAAACTGAAAATAGTTGACGCTCACAAAGCTGGAGAAAGCTATAAGAAGATAGCAAAGCGTTTTCAGATGTCAATATCCTCTGTTCGGAATGTAATTAGGAAATGGCAGTCATCAGGAACAGTGGAAGTTAAAGCAAGATCTGGAAGACCAAGACAAATATCAGACAGAACAGCTCGCAGGATTGTGAGAAAAACAATTCAAAACCCACGTTTGACTGATCCCTCCAGAAAGATCTGGCAGACACTGGAGTTGTGGTCACTATTCCACTATAAAGAGATACTTGTACAAATATGGTCTTCATGGAAGAGTCATCAGAAGAAAACCTCTTCTACGTCCTCGCCACAAAAATCACTGTTTGAACTTTGCAAATGAACATATAGACAAGCGTCATGCATTTTGGAAACAAGTTCTGTGGACCGATGAGGTTAAAATTGAACTTTTTGGCCGGAATGACAAAGGTACGTTTGGAGAAGAAGGGGCACAGAATTTAATGAAAAGAACCTCTGACTGTTTTGGATGGTAACTTGATGTCATCTGTGAAAAAGCTGAAGTTAAAGAGAGGATGGCTTCTACAAATGGATAATGATCCTAAACACACCTCGAAATCCACGGGGGATTACATCAAGAGGCGTAAACTGAAGGTTTTGAGCCTTCACAATCTCCTGACCTCAACATCATTGAAAATCTGATGGATGACTTAAAAGAGCAGTGCGTGACAGGGGAAATTAGAGACTTTTGTAAGCTCCTCTGGTACTTGAGACAAAAAGCGTTTACAAGCTGTGTGGGGGGCAGACAAGATATTAACTCTGCAGGGTGCTTTTGCAGACGCCATTTTTTTTGTTTTCTGTTATTTTAAAAGTGTAAATGATGGAAATAAAATCTAACTTTTGTTGACATATTATAAGATGTCTCTGTACTTTGAGCCTTTGGAGACTGCGGCTTCTTTATGCACATAATACAAATTTTAGCTGGGGTGCCCAAACTTTCGATCCCCACTGTATATAAATGTATAATAATAGTGTGTGACTGTGGGGGGGACATTAGAGTGTAAGCTCCTCTGGTACAGAGACTGATGTGACTGTGGGGGAGGGGACAATAGAGTGTAAGCTCCTCTGGTACAGAGACTGATGTGACTGTGGGGGAGGGGACAATAGAGTGTAAGCTCCTCTGGTACAGAGACTGATGTGACTGTGGGGGAGGGGACATAGAGTGTAAGCTCCTCTGGGTGACAGTGTTCTCTGACGGTATATGTCAGAGCTATATAAATGGGACTGTGGGGGAGGGGACATTAGAGTGTAAGCTCCTCTGGTACAGAGACTGATGTGACTGTGGGGGGACATTAGAGTGTAAGCTCCTCTGGTACAGAGACTGATGTGACTGTGGGGGGAGGGGACATTAGAGTGTAAGCTCCTCTGGCACAGTGACTGGCTCAGTGTTCTTTATATATAGATATAGGATAAATGATAGGTACACAAATCAGGAAACAGACAAGCCAGACACACAAGTGACAGATGATGGGCAGACATGTGACAAATGTTCAGTAGACAGACAAAGCAAACATCACATATGGCAGGCAGATGGTAGGCAGGCAGATTAGACAAGAACCAGGCAGGAAAATCAGGCAAGTGACAGATGACAGGTAGATCAGACAGGTGACTAATGAGTAGAAAGAGCAGGCTGGTGGTGGATAAGAAGACCAGACAACTTACTGATGACTGGTAGATAGATCAGACAGGTAATCGATTATACAGATAGCAGACAGATCCGGTGGATGCCTGATGATATGAAGACAGATCAGAGAGGAGACAGATGACAGGTAGAGATTAGGCAGGTTAATAGGTAGATAAACAGATCTACAACATGACAGGAAGACACATCAAATAGATGACAGATAAAGAGATCAGAAAGGTGACAGACAGAGCAGACAGGCCACTGATAATAGAGAGACAGATGATATGAAGACAAATCAGACAGATAAAATGATGCTAGGTACAGAGAATGGACAGATGATGTGTAGGCAGATGACAGGTGGAGAGATAAGGAGAGAGCTCAGACAGGTAGCTGATTAGACAGACTGGGCAGATTATAGGTAGAGAGATAAGAGATGATAAGTAGAGAGATCGGAAAGGCAGGTGACTGATAATGTGTAGACAGATCAGAGAGTAGAGCAGAGTGTTCAGACAGGTAACATATCAGATGAGTGACAGGGCACATGATAGAGAAATCAGACAGGTAACAGATCTGACAGATGACAGGTAGACAGACAGGTGTCAGATAATAGAGATAAAAAAGGTGACGAATAAGACAGATCCAACAGGTCAGATAGATGACCAGCAGACAGATCAAGCAGGTGACAGATGATACAAAGACAGTTTAGATAAGGTACAGATGATAGGTGGGGAGATCATATAGGTAAGTGATCAGAGGATGTGAAGACAGACCAGGTAGGAGACAGGTGAATGTATCAAGTAGGTTCCAGATGACAGGCAGACATGGGGCGACATATGACAGGCAGAAACACAGGAGGGGAGGAGGGTAAAGGCAAATAACAGACAGGCACACTGGGGGGTGGTTCAGGCGACAGATGACAGGCAGGCACACATGGGACAGGCGACAGATCTCTATCATATAGATTCCTCTCCCCCCCATAGACTATATATATACCCGTGTGTGTACACAGGAAATCTCCTCCCCATCTATACTACATGGGGGGGGGGGGCTCTGTCTGTGATATACACCATCCTCACCCCCCCTAGGAGCCCAGTTTACACACTGCGCCCCCTCCCCCTGTATACATGTATACACTGTGCCCCCTGTATACAGTACATGTACGGTACACGCCGCGCCTCCCCCTGTACACACGTAATGTACACGCCCGCGCCCCCCCCCTCCCCCTGTACACACGTAATGTACACGCCGCACCCCCTCCCCCATATACACGTAATGTACACGCCGCACCCCCTCCCCCGTATACACGTAATGTACACGCCGCACCCCCTCCCCCGTATACACGTAATGTACACGCCGCGCCCCCTCCCCCGTATACACGTAATGTATACGCAGCAACCCCCTCCCCCGCATACACGTAATATACACGCAGCAACCCCCTCCCCCGCATACACGTAATATACACGCCAGCCCCCGCCCGCCCCCCTCCCCCGTATACACGTAATGTACATGCTGCGCCCCCTCCCCCGTATACACGTAATGTACACGCCGCCGCCCCCCCTCCCCCGTATACACGTACTGTACACTGTCCCGCCTCCCCGTATACACATACTGTACACACTGTCCCCCCCTCCCCCAGTATACATGTACTGTACACACTGCCCCCCTCCCCCAGTATACATGTACTGTACACATGTACTGTACACACTGTCCCCCCTCCCCCTGTATACATGTACTGTACACACTGCCCCCCTCCCCCAGTATACATGTACTGTACACATGTACTGTACACACTGTCCCCCTCCCCCAGTATACATGTACTGTACACATGTACTGTACACACTGTCCCCCTCCCCCTGTATACATGTACTGTACACACTGCCCACCCCCGTATACATGTACTGTACACACTGTCCCCCCTCCCCTGTATACATGTACTGTACACACTGCCCCCCCCTGTATACATGTACTGTACACACTGCCCACCCCCGTATACATGTACTGTACACACTGTCCCCCCCCCCCGTATACATGTACTGTACACACTGTCCCCCCCGTATACATGTACTGTACACACTGTCCCCCTCCCCCGTATACACGTACTGTACACCTGTCCCCCCCCCCAGTATACACGTACTGTACACACGTCCCCCCTGTATACATGTACTGTACACACTGTCCCCCTCCCCCCGTATACATGTACTGTACACACTGTCGTCCCCCCCCCCCCGTATACATGTACTGTACACACTGTCCCCCCCCCCCCCGTATACATGTACTGTACACACTGTCCCCCCCGTATACATGTACTGTACACACTGTCCCCCCCCTGTATACATGTACTGTACACGCACTGTCCCCCCCCCCCAGTATACACGTACTGTACACACGTCCCCCCTGTATACATGTACTGTACACACTGTCCCCCCTGTATACATGTACTGTACACACTGTCCTCCCCCTGTATACACGTACTGTACACACTGTCCCCCTCCCCCTGTATACACGTACTGTACAC